AGTCCGAAACGTCAGTTAATACCACATATACACGGTGCAAAATCCCAGAAGACTGCTTTCTTCATAGTCACCGCCGTGAAAGCCTCAAATCTTACATCTTCTGCAATTCTTTCTCGCGTGAACAGCCGTCGTCTCATCTCTCAAGTCGATACTGGCTCAATGACCCACAGACGGATTAACTATAGAAGTAATTACCTACATATATAATTATGAATTTCTAATCCTCTGGTTATGGAATCCGCAGATTCACCATTTACACTACGTCCACTCTTTAAGATGTTTCTGAGATACGAATCCAGTTCCCACTTCTACAACGCAAAAAAAAAAAAAGAAGAAGATAAACGTATTCCTGTAAAAGGCCGTGGAGGTCCATAGGGTTGTGAGATGTTGACGTTCCCGCATTTTCTAGACAATCGGCTCACAGATGGCGGTGAGGTTGTCAGCCTTACGCGCCGGCCGACCTTTCCCCCTAGGAATATTCCTGGTGCTGTAACCGTACGTCCCTCGCCAAAATTATTTAAGGGTATGAACAATTTATGTATTGTTTAACACCATGGGAGACGCTCCTCCGGCGAGATACCATCTCGGGACCGTCTAGTTGTAATTCAGCTATTGTCCTCCTTAGGCTTAGGGTGTCACTACTGTCCCTAACGTCGCCTGTTTGCTCCTGGACCCTTGGCTTTCTCTTTTCAATCTCTTGTTTTTTACGCCCACTGGGTGACTGGTAAAGAGAGGGCCGTCGGTTATAGGGAGCGGAGGACAGTAGTTGAAATGTAGACAGAGAACAAAGAAGTGTTTGACAGCAGGGGTAGCGAGTAGGACGGACGGAGCTGCGAGTTTGGAGGACAATGTAAATATTGATCATTGAATGAAACTTGAAATTAGTACTTCAATACACGGTGTGTTCTGGAGATCCCTGAATTATTTACCCCGAAATGTGTTCCATTCCCATCTCCGAAGCACCCGTATCCCTGGGATAAAGAACTCAAGCTCGAGAGAAAGTCGTGGCAGCTGTACGTCGGCGGACGGCTACAGTGCTCATTTGCGTCAGAGGCTAAGTCGACCCCAGGGCCATAATGCGGCTGGAACGATTAGGTAAATTGAAAAGAATCTACCTCACCGGGATTCGATCGCGTGACCTTTCGGCTTGTAGCCTAGTGCCTCAACCAATTATGCTACCGAGTGCCACCATTTCTACAACGTACTTCATAAAAAATCCATTTCAGTACTATACTTATGTATTTTCTGTTGGTTGTACAAAATTATGTCGGTTAAACAGTCATGAAACATAACCTAATTACAAGAGCGAAGAAAATTAAAGTGATGGGTTTTAAAGGAACACACTGCGTGTGATCACAAATTGTTATATAAGATATAACTATTAGGCAAGTAATCACTTTGAGTGTGCTATTTCAATTTTTAAGAACAAAAGTTCTTAAACGAATCCGAATAGATTTAACTACACAGGGGGGACGGTAAGGAGAGTAATTAATAAAGAGACAAGGATGGATACACAAATTAAATTTTATAAAACCATGGCCATCCCCACATTAACATGCAGCTCTGAAACATGGACACTGACAAAGGCAACGGCAGAAACAACAGAAATGAAATTTCTTAGTAATGTGGCCGGATACACATTAAATAATTAATTATGTATGGTGATTAGAAACGAAATAAATACATTCAATTCAGAATAACAGACTTAACTGGATTAATCATGTTGAAAGAACCGAACTTGAACGCATTGCAGAACAGCCAATTGACTACACATCTAGAGGAAAAAAATACCAATGGACGGTCGAAATTACACTAGATGGTTCGACCTATCTTAAAGGAGAATGGAGCAGACTAAAAGGCGCAAACCTTGAAGTCAATAATGATGAATATGATTATGGTCATGATCGTTTTTTGTGTTCTAGGTGGCCGTTTTCCAAGTCTTATCCACCATAATTCTGCATAATCTTCTTGTTTCTCCCAGCCGAGTTACACGCTCGGCACATCGCGTCATTAAATAATCTACGAATCAATGTTTGCATGGCCTGGGCCAATGTATCTTGTTTTATGGGATGTATGGGCATAATTTACTCGGCAGTTGCGATAGGAGCGCGGGGGATGCGCAGTAACACAATTTATGCAGGGAAGCTAATCATATACATATCTGAACCGGACTACGGCAGCTCGCTTACTCCGAGTTAACAAACGTGAGGCTTGCGCTTGTAGAAAGAATCATTACGCGCGGGTGTCATATTTAAATCACTGCCCATA